GGTCAATAGATCTTTGTTCCTCCTTTATCACTTCTTGTATGACACGATACCCTCCCATAACCCAGATTATGCTAAGGAATTCTCGTCCGTATTGTCCCAGCTGAGTAACATGGTTTACATTCTGGCACGAATGTGCTGCATAAAGAAGCATCTCAATCCACATTGCCTTTATCAGCTTCCATCTATTTGTGTATTGGTTCAATTTTGTGGCCAGGTATCCTGCATATTTTGGCAGATTCTCCATCGCAGTCTGGGGACTTAGTTGAGAAAAGGAAAAGGTATGTTTAATTAAACATATTGGTTAATTTAATGGAAAAAGAAAAAATAAGAATGTCTCGATATTAAAATTATTAAATTGTCTAATAATCATCACATGATGCATTAGATAAAGTTAGAATCTACACTACACATGTTTATGATTGTGATTAAAATGTCAAGATGTCTTGATTTTTTTTTTTCTAATTTAATTATGTTTGTTTACAAATAAATAAATAAACCAACCTGAATTCGGGCAAGTCCAGCAACAGTGAATCGAAAGCAGCGTTCTTATTTGATGCCTTGGAGGCAGTGTCCCTGAGCACATCAAGAGCACGATCCAACCAGAAACTGCTACAGTCGTCAGGTAGTAGCATAGCAGGTCGTATGACTAGCAGATGCATCATATAATCTGATAAGTATTTGCTGATCTTCATGGCTTCATTGGGAGCATTATTGAGATTCTTGTTATCTTGATGGTAACAAATACTTGTGGCCAGGTGCCAGGCTATGATGCTGGCATCAAAGTCCACTTTGATGCTCCATTCAAGGTCAGTACGTATATCAGATATTCCTCCCCTCAGTTCATCAAGCGTCCTCTCCCCCCTCGTTGCTTCAAAGGAATCACCTGAAAAGAAGGAATCTAGCCGCCTTTGGTAAACATCTTTTGGCTTCAAACAGCTTGGAACTTCCACAAACCTTGTATACTTGAACCTATGCCAATGTTCAAGATTATCATAGCTACAGCACTTTTGTAGAAACCTATAAACCCGGGCCTTCCTAGAGTTCCAGCAATAATTCAATAAATCAAATTGTCCCATCCTAACCGACCACCTCTTCTGTTGAGGTAAGAAGCAAGGAAAGAATTGCAAGACATACTGGAGAATTTTGCGTGCCAAACAATTGTTATGCATCAAAATTACTGCCCAATCAGAAGAAAGAATTGAGAACACAGTACAAATATCCAGTGCAACAGCTCCGACCAACAACAATAATGTTATGGAAAAATCAAGGTCTTCGACGGAAATCAGGACGTACACAAGCATCCCAACGGAAAGAGTGAAGCTGATGAGGCGCAAGATGAATCCTTTTCTAGTATAAATGAAAGCAGCTTTTGTGTAAACAACATCAAATATAAACCCCAGTTCAACAACAGCTATGTCGAAGTGAGTCAAATGGCTATTACTCCTCCTCAGCTCGTTTCTTTCAAGCAAGTCTTGTAGCATTAACTTGACTTGATGGTTGGTTTTCCTTAGATAGGTTCGTATCCTCACTTTAAAGGACAGGGGATACTCCTTCTGGCTGAGGTAATTATTGACATCTGGTCTCATAGCTGAAAACAATGCATAGCCGAGGAGGACTATTTTTGATTCTTGATGGTCTAATAATGGGTGAGATAGATGATTAGGATTTTTAAAGATGGAGATGATCCGCTTTGTTTTCATAGAGTTAGTAGCCTTAAGACACAAAATCCTCTCTATGTATTTGATGATTCCAGCAAAACAGAGAGGAATTGTGAGAAGTAGGAAGAAAAAGGTCGAGTATTCGGGCATTGACAAAAAAATGACACAAAAGGCAAGAATGGATTGGACAACTAAAGTGAGGAGATGTCTGGTCCAGAGTTGGGTATCTTGAAAAGAATAGGCAGTGATGGTGTCAGGGCCACCAAGATGAAGTATGAGTAAGGGAGCCCATAATGAACCTATTCCTTGAAGATTGTCGATGTCAACATCCATTATGGGACTAGTAAGCTTACCAAGAGCAGCAATGGTGACCCAATCTTTGCTTTGGTAGGCAAACCAGAGAATTATTTTGTTGATAAGGCTAACACTGTGCTTTCTGCGTTTGCCCAGGAAAGAAAGAGCGATTTGTAAGAGCAGGCTCAAAAGAATCATTGCCCTCACATCCAATGCATACCGCAACAAAGTTGTAAACAAGCTTGATGCCCTCACACTGTTTATACACATGCATATTACCAAGCAATGTCAAAACAAGAATTAAAATTAAACGATGATAATTGATGTTTATCATTATACAATATCCTGGACGTACCTTTCAGACATTGTTGATTGCATGAGTGCCCTTGGAAATATTGTTTAATATATAGTTTGGACAAGTCCTATCAGTTTCTTTGGAATGATATATGAACTGCAATGATCGATGTTAAATGTATTTAGACGAAAGATAGAGAACACTTAATTACTTATGATGCACTGAAACTGTTAACAATATAGTTCCTTCCATATTCTCATTCTTTAGTTCAACATCTTCATACACTAGAAGGCAGGAAATAAAAGTAGTTAATTATTGGTTGCTTTAAAAAATCTTTTCCACAGTAAAATTGAATAAATTAGCTTTAAAATATCTTCTCCACGGTAAGATTGAATAAATTAGCTTTAAAATATCTTTTCCACAGTAAAATTGAATGAAATAAGTTAAAGTTAGGAACATAATTAACTGAACACTGATACAAATACTATTTGATTTAATATATTTCACTATATTTATTAAAAATTATTATTTAACTTTGAATTAATTAAATACAAAAAAACTTTAAAATTATAGATTTTAATAATTAAATCAGCAAGTATTCATAAGTATATTGAATCAGTGTATATAACAATCATTTTCCTAATTATATCAACCAAATGCAAATATAGAAGTCAAATAATTATATGGTAATTGAAGTGAAATTTGAGAATAATTAGCAAGAAGTTTGATATAATTAGAGTATTATTATATATTACTATATAGAGAGTTAATTTAATAAGGAATTATATATATCATGATCATCAAAAATTTTGAAATCATTTCAATTTAATTTAATCAGACTTCAACTTTCTCAATGAATTTTTTTAAGAGGCCTATTAAGTATTTATTTGAGATTTTAGAGAGAATTTAAAAGGTCCATTAGATCTTTATTCAAAATTTATTAAAAAATTTAACAATATTTATAATAGAGTAAATTGAGTAATTAAGTGTTTATTGGATATCACTAAAAAATTAGGAGGAAAACACCCAAAACAATGTCATTTCATTAAACTCTCATTTATAAATATTAAAATAAACTATTTTTAAAGCAAGAATAAGATTGTTTGTCTTTTTCCGTGATGCTTTAATAAAATGATGTAATTTTAGAATATTTAAAAATGTATTTTGTAGAATGCCCTCCATTGGGGACATTTTTAAAAACATCATATTTTAATTAATATTTTGACAAATCAACCATAGGAGTGAAAATTCTATTCAAGTAGACTATGTATGTCAATTTTTAAATTGATTTAATATTTATAACATTTTTATAAAAGAAACTTTATTTATTAATATATATTTAATGGTGTTAAATTTTGTATAATTAAGGAACTAGATAGGTCTATAAAATCAATTTAAAAATTGACATATATGATCTATATTAATAAAATTTTTAATCTAACAATTGATTTTTTAAAATATTAATTAAAAATAAGTTTTAAACAAATCCTCCAAATTTTTTTTTGAGAGAATGATATGTAAAACACTTTTTTTATGTATATAGGATTACTGTTTATCTACCTTACTTCTTAAAAATTAAAAAAAAAAAAATCATCATAAAACTATCT